CTGAACGCTCTTTGTTTGCACGTCAATGTTTACGAATAGATTAAATGAAAAGGGACATAATTAATCTTGACAAACTATATATCATTCTAAAGGTCTAAGCCTCAAGCATCAACGCTAGATCACTGTTTTTCAATGTAAAGCTTATAAGGAATGTTTTTGATAAATTTGTGTAAGCAGTACACATCAACACATGCATAATCAAAACGCAGTACATACCAGATTCATCGTAATAACGAGTCACAAACGCATCCACTGCTGTAAATCCCGGTTTAGTTAGAAAGGTAAGGGTCCACTGAACAACATCCCATAGAGCACTTTTAGTCCAATTAAATGATAACATTGTAATATGGATGGTTATTCCTTTGTTTACATCTCATTTTTTCAGGAAGAGTCATTGTTTGTATCCATTTTGGAATAACTTACGCTCAAAAAACTGCATCTTGGTAGTAAAAAACAACATGGTTTTGTAGCATACAGTGTCACAAACAGAATGAGACCATCCACTAAAAAAACTGTCAAATATACGCAGACTATTGTTTATTTGAATTCTGGCGCTCTCTTGTGACGGCTCGTGATGCACGCTGTGACGCACCTGTTATCTGCTGGGGGCGTAACTTAGCGATCGGCTTTTTGCACAAATAATTCCTTTTTTTCCCATATTCAACATTTTTCATATGTGTGTGTGTGTGTGTTTTGTGGGGAATGTGGCTGTATCTGTATGATTACCATCTGTATGAGCGCACATCACCGTGTTCTATGAACGGCCTTACGGGTGTGACTATTGACTATATGGCCGGCCATCTGTACTATTACCATCTTGTATAACCAGCAATCAGTGTGAATGCTGTATGTCTGGCAAACAGAGTATGTACTTGACATACAAAGCTAATTCTTTTTTCTCTCTCTCTCTTCTTTTTTTCTTTTTATTACTAAAAAATTACTATTATTGTATTTTTCTAGTGCTCAAATAAATCACTTATACGATGTCTAAGATTCAGTCTATTATTTTATAATTGAAAAAGTATGCAGTGATATGTATAATGACTAAAATAGTTTGGACCCTTACATTTGTAAGGGTTACATTTGGTCACTATTTTTCCTCAAACAGGGGGTGGGACTAGACTAGTCTCAGAAAAATGGCTGCAGGAATCTCATTTTTCATGGTATCTTTTTCAAATTTGAAATATAAACTCATGAGACATGTGACTTTCAAACCATTACTTTTCTGGCTTGCTCCAGGACTGATTTCATGTATTTGTATATGAACTAATAATAAACTCTGGATGATGGATGGTAAAACCCAAAGTGTCGTCTTTCCAAATATACCTAAATTGTGTGTGTAGCACACTGTTGTCAGGAACTGTTACCATTTTAAGTTAGGTAGGTCATTTTCAGCTGTGAGTCCCAAAAGTGGGGGTGCAGGCTAACAGGTTAATTCTCAGCCCATAGAGACCTACATATCACACTTTAGAGACTGTGTCCGTTCCCCGAACTAGCAAATACAAAAAACGTCCAAACCAATTTAAGGGTTTAAGAAATAAAATACAGATATAATACAGATAAACAAATTATAAAGCTTGGCTTAAATTGCCCCTATTATGCCATTTTTAAGGTTCCTAATATTGTTTTGGGAGTCTCCTACAATAGGATTACATGCATGCAAGGTCAAAAACGCTTTTGTTTTCTCAAAATATGCATTTAATATCACCTCATTTTCCAGTGATTCTCAAACAATTCGTTCAAAGCAGTTCTAAGATCCAGTCTCTCTAAATCCCTCCTTTCCATGAGCCTACTCTGCTCTGATTGGTCAGATGGCCCAGTGTGTTGTGATTGGTCTACCGCATACAGCGTGTGTGTCGGATACGATACGCATATTGCAGTAGTTCCATATTTTGAATGTTCGATAGAAAATATATACATCTATTATTTATCATACTTGTGATTCAGTGGAGCCAACTGGTCCAAATAAACAGGATACTGAGCCATCTTTCAAGAGCAAGCATTTAGTGAATCTCACGTTGAACTCCCCGAGATTAGAGAAGCAGTCGTCAGTAAAATGACGTGTTTGTGGGCAGGGTCAAGTTGTTTGCTGCCGGCCAACGTAGAACATAGGCAGGAATTATGCAAATGTGTTACCCCGTGACAGCTACCCCATGACGGCTAAGTGGGATTCTAATTACTAACGACTCATTTAGGCTGTAGAGAGTCGATTCTTTATTTTGGGAGAGAATAACTTTATTTATCGTGCACCTTTGGCTTTACAACTTTGCTGATCGTTTGCATTACACACTGCATGAAAGACAATATTGGAAATGGCATAATAGGGGCACTTTAATGAATATTAAATCCCTTTCTATGAAAGAGTTTTTTGTAAATGATATGATCACAGATCATAACCTAGATGTGCTATGTTTGACAGAAACCTAGCTTAAACCAGATGATTACATTACTTTAAAGTGCCCCTATTTTTTTCTTTAATGCAGTGTGTAACACAGCTCTAAGTGAATGAAAACATCCTGCAAAGATTTAAATCTGAAAGTGCACCATGTATAAAGTTATTGTCTTTCAAAAGAAAGAGTCGACTCTGAGTCATTTAAACGAGTTGTTTTTAAAACAAATCCCAAGTCAACATGAAACATTAACATATTGCCTGCCCACTTGTTGCGTGCGCAGACCCGGGAAAACTCAATAACAACCAACTGCAGAACCGCAGAACCATACGTCATGACAGTCTGAGGACAACAGCGCCAGACTAACAGTCTGAGGCCGGAAGTGGGCGGAGTTCATGTAAACTAATAATGGAATGGTGGAAGACACGGTAAGAAGTTAATCACGGCGTAATTACGAGAGCTCAGTCAAAAGTTAATGAAAACGGAATCATCATGGCGGAAACAGAGAAGATGGTAAAAAAAAAATAGCCTTTGTGTATTTATTCGATTGTTTTTGGATTAACGCTTATACAAAATGGCTCTAAGTATTGACAAGACTGGACAAATTGAATAGTCACATCAAAATTAACTTCAAAAAGGCTGTTGTGCATGGAGGTATGAACGTCTTATTATATTACGTCTAATATTATGTAATAGTAGTCCCTTTGGAATTAGCTGGTTTTCTGCATGATTTGGTCAAGATTGGTCATTAAAGTCAAAAGTTTAGACGAGCAATACACACAAACACTCTAATAAAACACAAAACAGTTATTTATTTGTGTATTTGTATTTTATAATAATATTTAATAGTCGTCTTATAATCAGGGTCGTCTTATATTCGGGCCAATACGGTACATAGTCGTACTGCCAGTTATTCAAGAAGACTCACCGTGCAGTTTCTGAAAAAGCCGAACACACAGGAAGGACAGTGGAATGGCCCGGTGTGTAATTCAGGAAAAGCAGGAGCGGGTGGATGCAATAACAACCAACTGCAGAACCGCAGAACCATACGTCATGACAGTCTGAGGACAACAGCGCCAGACTAACAGTCTGAGGCCGGAAGTGGGCGGAGTTCATGTAAACTAATAATGGAATGGTGGAAGACACGGTAAGAAGTTAATCACGGCGTAATTACGAGAGCTCAGTCAAAAGTTAATGAAAACGGAATCATCATGGCGGAAGAAGAGAAAACGGTAAAAAAAATAAAATAATCGCCTTTGTGTATTTAATCGATTGTTTTTGGATTAACGCTTATACAAAATGGCTCTAAGTATTGACAAGACTGGACAAATTGAATAGTCACATCAAAATTAACTTCAAAAAGGCTGTTGTGCATGGAGGTATGAACGTCTTATTATATTACGTCTAATATTATGTAATAGTAGTCCCTTTGGAATTAGCTGGTTTTCTGCATGATTTGGTCAAGATTGGTCATTAAAGTCAAAAGTTTAGACGAGCAATACACACAAACACTCTAATAAAACACAAAACAGTTATTTATTTGTGTATTTGTATTTTATAATAATATTTAATATCTTTGAACACATCCCACTAAACATTTTAATACACAACAGGGATAAGTTTTGAGTAGGGTTGGAGTTACACTCTGAAGCACCCTGGACCTCCAGGAACTGAGTGTTTACTATTTTTTCCCCCTATATTTCAGATTTCACATTTCACAGATGTGGACTGGGCTGCAGACCAACCCAACATTTCCACTGTCTCTACTGTACAGCCACAATTCTAAGGAGAGAGTTTTTCATTCTCATTTAGAAATTTGTAAATCAAAGCAGCATAAAATGCTGTCAACCACTAGTGCAAAATGTACTGTCCCAAGGGTCACGACCATGCCGGCGACAACAACTGGGACCCCATCAGCCACCAGCACAGTTTGTAACATGCCAGCGACGACAACAGGGACCCCATCAGCCACCAGCACGGTTTGTAACATGCCAGCTGCAGACCAACCCAACATTTCCACTGTCTCTACTGTACAGCCACAATTCTAAGGAGAGAGTTTTTCATTCTCATTTAGAAATTTGTAAATCAAAGCAGCATAAAATGCTGTCAACCACTAGTGCAAAATGTACTGTCCCAAGGGTCACGACCATGCCGGCGACAACAACTGGGACCCCATCAGCCACCAGCACAGTTTGTAACATGCCAGCGACGACAACAGGGACCCCATCAGCCACCAGCACGGTTTGTAACATGCCAGCGACAACAACTGGGACCCCATCAGCCACCAGCACAGTTTGTAACATGCCAGCGACGACAACAGGGACCCCATCAGCCACCAGCACGGTTTGTAACATGCCAGCGACGACAACTGGGACCCCATCAGCCACCAGCACAGTTTGTAACATGCCAGGCAGGGTTCGTGCACGGCCTTTTATTAAACAGAAATGCCCACTGTGCAGTACCCTCATGAATAAAACTAATTTAAAGAAACATATTGACCGTAAACACACAAATCAACCAATTCAGGACATTAATGCCAGATTCCACCTTGCAAGTCAGTGTGTGGACAAATCAAATGGCATGTTCACTGTGCTTAATGTTGCAAGAGGTCAGAGTACTCCTCTTACTGTCCAATACAAATCATGGGGAGAACAACAAAAAGTCTGCTGCGAATCAAACGAATGCCAAGTAAACATGGAAGTAGCACAGAGGAGTGGTCTGTTATCCTATCAGTGTATGCATGTCAGATCTGTAAGTTACTGCACATCCTCAGCTGAAGCAGTCTCTCTAAAGGAAGATGTTTTAACAGAAATGGTGAGAGCAAAGTGGTTTGGTGATGAGAAGAAAAACATATGCCTTGCTCATCAACAGCTTGCCATTTCTAGCAGTGCACCACTTTCTGTAGAAGCCTCAACTGGCAGCCCTCAAACAAAAAAGTTAATTTCCGTTTTTGAGCCAAATGTGTCCTATTATAGCCGTTTGGGGCGTGTCGTTGTTTACAACACCAAATTAAACACATGGCACTGCCCCTGTTCCAAAGTGTGCCGTTCGTGTCCGCATAAGTACATTGCGAAATGGCATCTATTTCAAACAGACCGTGAGCTTTTCCGTACTGTCTTCAGCAGAGAAGAATCACCACCCCAAAAGGCACATACACATTCAGAGGAGAGCAATGTCACAGAAGACCATCCTTTGTATCCTCCACATGATCTGCAACTGAAACAAATGGTGCAGTATATTCTACAGCACAAGAAGATACCTGCTGTCCTACCAGACAACATACGTGCACCATCACCAGGCAAAGAATACCCAAAATATCTTTGTCCTGAAGAAACCATGTGTCAGAGACGCCCAGGTGTTGTCCCCCTCAGTGACCCTATTCTGATTACAAAGAGGGCTAAAATACTCTCCAACTGGGGCATTGTTGAAGGTAGGATGGTGTTATTAATATGCATATGTGCTATGCAATTACACTGTCCTCTGATGCAATACTTGTTTTGAATCATAGATGTATTAACCTACTGTAAGCAGTGCCCACTGTGTGGAATGTTTTATCGCTACCAAGAGTGGAAAGACCAACTCCACAACTTTAACGACCACATCCTCCTTGACATACATTTATTCCTAACCATAAGAAACCTTCTACAGGTAACCTTCAATGTATGAATGTCTTCGGTAAGAACAGTACTTTTCCATGTGTACATTGCTTTTTTTATAACTCCTTTTTTTTTTTTTTTTTTTACAGGTCCATACTGCTGTAAGCAGAGCAGTTGAGTTTTTAGAAGATCAGACAGGTGTGAAGTTTCCACCGGCAGACACAGTGCTTCATGCGTACTTGCACTTTGAGGCCCTTACAGATCACGAAAACAAGTATACTTGCATTACTTGTGGTGATCACCCCCCTGTGGTGATTATGGATTTACACAAAAAAGGTGTTTTCCATTTATCAGGTATGACTACTGTGATACTCCACTTGCTAATGGTTGTTTACATTAACATTTATGTATTTGGCAGGCACTTTTATCCAAAGCGACTTACATTGCATTTTTTTATCTGTTCATTGTAATTTTACTTTTTTAAAAATAGTTTTCTCAGTTTTACCTTGTTATAATGAACTATTTTTTCACTCTTTAGTAAGTGACATCCAGGGTCCTGCAGAGAATTTTGACGGGGATGTCAACCTGGAAAAGTTTTGGGAGGCCATGTCCTGTGATATGATTTGTCGCGGATTTGTTGCAAGTATGAACATAATGCTTTGTACATCATTGGAAGGCAAAAGGCAACATAATACAATGCTTTTTTTTTTTTTTAGGTGGTAGACACAATCCATGTGCGGTATCACCATCATACCATATTTGGGCCCCTTGGATAGGGAAGCACACACGGAATTCAGACTCTGTACTAAACACAGAGTTCGAAAAGATTCATGTTTCGAAGTCTGTATCTGAAATTTCTGAAATTACGGTTACAGAGGACAGACTCAGAGAAGAACTATACCAGGGGTAGGCAAGTTCGGTCCTAGAGAGCCGCAGTCCTGCAGAGTTCAGCTCCAACCCTGAAAAAAAAGCTCACCTGCCTATAGCCTTAGTAATCCTGAAGACATTGATTAGCTTGTTCAGGTGTGTTTGATTAGGGTTGGAGCTG